CGCATCATCCTGCTTTCAGTTACCACGATGGGGGAAGGTCAAACACTGTTTGATCGTGTTTAAAGATAAGGAAAGGCTAAGTTTACATATCCAGCCGCTGTTATGGGCCACACTAAGCCACTTTGGAAGGTTTTAAACGATATAAAACAACCTCTAGTCTGGCTTATATAGATGCAGCAGGATTTATGCACATTCTGCAACCAACCATTAAAGGAAGAGACGAAATTGTCAAAAGGCAGGGATAACAGGAAAGCTACCAAATTTTTTAATTTCAGAATGTAATTTGAATAATGATTGTGGTAATATAACACATTCAAGTTTCTACAATAAACTTCAGTCTACCTCAGTTTTAAAGATGTGGCAACACATGGTGCATAAAGACTGCTGTGTGTGTGCGCGTGTGCGCCTGTATGTGTGTGGTCTACAGAGCCATGCTATTACCTCCGAACCTTTTTTTGTGTGTGATGTTTTTGTGCATGAGATGATCAGAATCACCATGCTGCACTGATTTGAGGGGCACAACTAGCAAAAACGTTTCATCATTTTGTTGATCTACCTCTTAGATTCATATTGAAATAGAGGCATTTCACATAGAATAGATAATTTTCCCAAAGATCATTGTTGTACAGATTAGATAATTTTGAAAATGGTCTGAAGTGTTTTTCCTGCATCTCTTCTTTACTAATTGGTTTAAAAACCACAAACTTATGTTGTAGTTTTAGCAGAGAAAAATGAGGGTTTTTTTTTCCTTTTTTGACAGTGACCATCTAGTCTTTAGGAGAATTTTTTCTTGCAATGAATTTGAAATTACTGAAGTATAAAAAGTCATAGCATTTTAATTTTTGTTGAGGCTTAAGTCTAAGTCCAATTTTCCTTTCTTAACATTTGAGAAGGATTTGACTTTATTATTTTCCATAAAAGTTATTTACAAATAGGCAATGCATTTACATTTGCTGATTTAAATACTGTCATCTCTCTTAAATTTCTATACTTAGTGTGGTAAATCATGTTCTTATTTTCAATTGAGATTTGGTAATTTGGAGTATTTGGGAATAGCTAGAAAGTAAATACTGTAAATTATTTCAATATCCGCAAAGTATGGATCATTTTTTCATCTGTAATGTGCCCCCCAACGCAGCTCCACTTGCCAGATGCCTCTGAATGGAATAAAGAGTTTAACTCCTATCATCAGATATAGTTCTGTGGTTTTTTTTGTTTTTAAACTAAAGATGTGATACGACTAGTGCAGGCATATGTTTGCTCTAATGACAGGGTTTTTTATGGCTTTCTTTCAATTTGTCTTTTTTATTAATAGTATTTATATAGGGAACTCTTCAGCAGTCCACAGGTATTCCACAATCTTTAGGGTAGCCAGCAACAGTCTGATGCAGTCAGACTTTTCACCTGGCCCAACACCAGCATTCATCTCTGTGGTTTATAACTTTTTCTTCTCCCCTCCCCTCCATCAATATTATGCTGCCCACAGTACACTTTGCAATTAATGGCTTCATTTTTATTGTGAGGGATTTTGTTCTAGGTTGCCTAGATCTTTTTCGAAAGGCTCTGTGCCTGCCTGTCACAACCAAGCATATGAATGCCAAGGAATATATAACAGCCCTTAGGAAAGAGATCTAGATTGTTCACTTGGAGTTACAGACATTTTATTTTTTGCTGCCATTTGTTCTCGTCTTCTGCTTATTACAGATAAGACACACAAATAGCACTTCCCTGAAATTTGGAGGGCAGATGGAATCTGTGATGCTAGTGTGCAAAAAGTGGCAATCTGTATCTCATTCCTTCCCCCCAACTTCAGTGAGGTGGGATCTACTCTTGATATTTAGGCTTAATTGCTGGTAATGTTAATGGAGAATTGAAAAGTGAAGTGATTCGTGTATGTGTGCGTGAGAGAGAGCGCGAAAATAAAGCAGTTTTACATTCTGTATCTTTAAAGATGAATTGCAAAGCAAAATCTAGAACTGCTTAGCAAGATTTATTTTCCTCAAACATCTTATTAGTTGGAGGAAAGATTCCCAAACTTTCCCCCTTTTATAATAGCACCCACCATTAATTGGAATACCCAGAAAATGGTTAATTCCTGGCATCTTTCACACTGTCATGGGTTTTATTACTGGTAATTTTTAAGTCTGTACTCTTCTAAACTCCTCGGAATTCCTGTCCAAAGCCCCATGACAAAGTAAAGCCTTCCTCATTTAAGTTATGGAATTTTGTGTCTTTGGTCTCAGAGGCAGCGTTATTTCTGTACATGCAAAAAGAACAGGAGGACTTGTGGCACCTTAGAGACTAACCAATTTATTTGAGCATAAGCTTTCGTGAGTTAGTCTAAATTGGTTAGTCTCTAAGGTGCCACAAGTCCTCCTTTTCTTTTTGCGAATACAGACTAACACAGCTGCTACTCTGATTTCTGTATATGTAACTGCCAAAGACGCCAGGACATGATTTGATGAATCTTTAGGGAAGGTTTTACTGTTTAACAAGCTACGGCTTTTCAAACCATTTACAATGGACAGAAGACAATGAAAACAAGTGTCCTTCAAGAATTTTTTTTAATACATAGTCAGTAGGTTAATACTTAGTCACTTCCACTCCTTACTACTAATCTAGTGCTACAAGTGTAAAATTTCATGTGTGAATCTTGGAAGGGTTCGAAGCCTAACAGTGTTAAAGTAGCCATAAAGACAAATCTGTCTAAAAGAATGTAGATCAGCACAGGCAGATACCTTGTAATTTGAGGCACACCAAAAAAGCAATCTGCGATACATTTTGCTACTAACATATTTCATTGTAACGTCTGCTCAATTTGTGTACCAGTCTTGTCATCAACTGGAATATTTCTTGCTTCAGTGGCTTATTAGAGAACCGTACAGACTTTTCATCATGTTACAGAAAATCCTGCCAAAGGCATCTGGATCTTGATTAGCATTTCTCTGAACAGTTATTGCAGGGGTGGGCAAACTACAGCCCACTGGCTGGATCCGGCCCACAGGCGCCACGCCACTCTGGGAAACGGCCACACCCTATCCCTGCAGCCGGTGGGGGAGGGGGAGCAGAGAGCTCCAGACACTGCTCTTGCCTGTGGGTACCTTCCCCACAGCTCCCGTTGGCCAGGAACATGTTACCGCGGCCAATGGGAGCTTCGGGGGAGGTATCCACAGGTGAAGGAAAACACGTGGAGCCAGTGATGAGCTGCCAAAATCTTAACAATGGGTTCCCTCCTCACCCCGTGAGGGGGTCATTGCCCACCCCTGCTCCCCGGGACTCCTGCTCCATCCAACCCCCCCCCGTGTTCCTTGACATCCCCCCCAGGATCCCTGCCCCATCCACCCCTGTCCCCTGACTTCCCCCAGAACCGGGCAGGAGGGTCTCGTGGGCCACCATAGTGGGTGCCCACCCCACCCCTAAGAGCCAGAGGCACCTGCCGGAGGGTGAGGTGGGGAGTCCCAGCGGTGCTTACCTGGGGCAGCTCCCAGGAAGCATCCAGCAGGTCCCTCTGGCTCCTAGAGGTGGGGGAGCATAGCTGGGGGGGCAGCAGGGGGAGCGGCCGCTCCCCCACTGATCACATCAAAAGTGACGCCTTGGGTGCTGACTCCCTGGGTGCTCCACGGCTGGAGCACCCATGGGGAAAATTTGGTGGGTGCAGAGCACCCACAGGCAGCTCCCTGCGCCTGGCCCCAACTCCCTTCCGCTCCGCCTCCTCCCCTGAACCCACCGCCCTGCTCTGCTTCTCTGTGCCCCCCCGGCTTCCCGCAAATCAGCTGTTAGGCAGGAAGCTGGGGAGGGCAGGCCACGGCTTCCCGCTCAGGCTGAGGGTGGCGGAGGTGAGCTGGGGCAGGGAGCGGTTCCCCTGTGCTCTTCCCCCTCCCCCCACCCCGGGTTACCTGCTGTTGTGCGGGCAGCTCTCCTTGTGCCCCCTGCCCCAGCTCACCTCTGCCTCCCTGGGCCTGAACGGGAAGCTGCCACTTGCTTCTCAGCCTGCCCCGGCTTCTGGCGCGAACAGCTGATTCAGGGGAAGCCGGGGGGGGGGGGGGAGAAGCAGAACGGGGCGGTGCGTTCAGGGGAGGAGGAGGCAGAGCGGAGGTGAGCTGGGGCCGGGGAGCTGCTGGTGGGTGCTCTGCACCCACCAAATTTTCCCCTTGGGTGCTCCAGGGCTGGAGCTCCCATGGAGTCAGTGCCTATGGTGCCACTTTTGGCCGGTTAAATTTAGAAGCCCTTTTAGAACCGGTTGTCCCTTGCGGAACAACCGGTTCTAAAAGGGCTTCTAAATTTAACAACTGGCTCCAGCGCACCACTGTGTGGAGCCCTCTGTGCTCCCCAGGGGCCGCACAGGGACGTGGTGCCCCTGCACGCTGCTGCCACCCGGATCCGCTCTAGGTAAGCAGTGCCGGGCCAGGGCCTGAACCCCTCCTCCACTCCAATTCCCTGCCCTGGCTCTGCAAGCGATTTCCCCACCCCAAACTCAGGCCAAAAAGTTTGCCCACCCCTGAGTTACTGTGCTAGTCTCTCAGGTTAAACTTCTTCTTGGGCCTAGCGTTCATTAATCATTAGCTCCTGCGTTCATGGCTTTTAGGGCTGATTTTTTATTTGATCGATAACTAGTTTTGTCTGGGTTGTCTGCTATGTTGGTGGACTCTCCCATTCATAGGACAAGGACATGTGGGGCTAGTGCTGCACAATCACCTCCAAGGTAGGTGACGGAGTACCTGGATACATTCCAAAATTGCATTGGCTTCATAGCTACAGGGTAGCCCAACAGTTACATAATTTTTGGATGCAACTAGACGTTGTGTGATTTCTACTTGTATGCCTGCAGGAGCAGCTTTGTGGTACTGTTTGGAGCTAAGAGCTAGCTGTGGCTGTCTTTGTACTAGTACTCAAGATTTCAATGTAGTTTGGTACAGTACCTGTCGGAGGACTCTTCGCTCACCCTTTTGTGTGTTTTGACTAAAGCTGGGGATGCCTGATAGAGTAAGTTTCTACTTCAATTTGTTTCACATAAGAGCAGATTTTATTGGCAAAATATTGAAAGGGAAACTCAATAAGTAATCTGGAATTCTCTTTGGACTGGGTGCTTTGAAAAGCACCAGCAGGCATCCAGAAAACATAGTATCACAGTATGATAGAACATGTCTTCAATTCTGAGCATGAGTGAGCCTCAATTAATTGTTACAGGATAGCAGACTATATTACAGGTGGAATGTTTCTAATTTCAAGAGCACAGTGCTTCTGTTTGAAAAGCATCGAGTTATTTATAATGTTTCTTTTCCCGAAATCATTTTTTCTGCCTTGACTTGCCCTCTTTAACCCTGTTTAATAGGACTGGCCCATCTCCTCTTTACTTCTCTCCTGCTCCTTTCTTAAATCAGTGACCTTTCCCTACCTTAATGACTTCAAGGGATCCCTTTGGAATGAATCTGGACATACCAGCTAGGCAAAGTTGAACATTAGCCAGAGTGGTTTTAAGCATTGCTTTCCAAGTTTCTTCCTTTTGCTGAATGTGTAGGGTTTTCTTTTCAGGTTCGAGCATTTGAGAAAATGTTGAGCTATATTGCACAGGGGCTGTTTGGTTTTAGGTACAACATCTCCTTACTTTATCACAAAATCCCCTTTAGGGCTCATCTACATGATCTGTTAATGCACAGCAAGCCAGGTTATAAATCTACAGCACTCTAGTCTGTCACCCACAAAAATAATTTCAAACAGCAGTACATCAGCATGCACTTTGGAACTCTTAGTGCATGGCATACTAGTACAGTGCTGTAGATTTACATCTTAGCTTGCCCCATGCTATCAGTATGAACAAGCCCTTCTCAATACTACTTTGCTTCCCCTAGTTGTACTTTAACCTCAGATTAAACAAGGTTTGAGCTCTGCTCACAATGGATCCATGCTAGTAAATGGTGTTAAAGGGACACAGTAAATTAACCCTCAAACCAATGCAATTTACATAACACCTTGATTATTGACCTAGAGCAGGGTTTTCATTTTCACATACAGCAACAGCAGAGGGAGACAGTTTCGGTATTAAAACCAAACACTGGTAGGAAGATTCAGGGGCAGGTATAGTAACTAAAGTTCCTTTTAAACTGAGTTTCATGTTGACTGTCTCTGATTCAAATAGCTGCTACTCTTCCTTTAGTATACTTTCAGCTACAACTTCAACTGAGATGCTGACTACTTCAGTCACAGGGTCCCCCTGCACTTCTGGAAGAACAAGGGGGCTAGAATCCACTTCTTCAAAACAATTACCAACTTGAATCATAATACCCACAATTCCAGACAGATTCAATTAGGTACTTTGTGTTCTAGAGCTGTATTGCTGTAAGCCTCGTCCCTCACTAACTGCACAACAGTGGAGGGGTATTCAAGCAAGTGGCTCTTAGCTGTGTCCCCTCACCCAAGAAGTAACCACAGAAATTGCTTGTTTCACTCTTTTAATCCTGAAGTGGTGAGTGCTCTAACTGCATTATTTGTATGTATTCCTTTCATGACGGAAAGATTTTCGTCAGTGCTGCTGGTGAGTAAGTCCAAATACGAAGTCTTCTGGTAAAGACTCTGGAATCATCTGTGCTAACTGGTCATCATAAGAACGGAGCGTCCATAACTTTTCCAACTCATAAATATCTCGTGTCTCAGGAAGCATGAAATGGATCACTGTGCTACCTATACAGGACAGAAAGAAACAAAGACAAAAATGGACATAAACACAAAGTACAGGTTAAATTTCATGTGTACTATTAAGTTGCCAAAATCTTTTCACCATGCCAACATGTATGCTGCACTTTTTATAGAAAAATGTAACTTAATTGCAACACTTTCATATCCTTCTTTATGTAATGCTAGTACACTGCACCCAATTATAATGCATTTTAAAAAACAACTGTGACCTATGCTACTTTTTCTGTACTACAAATGTTCTGAAGATGTTAGTATGTTACCCCAAGAATGTCCAGGGCTAGAAGCAAGAGCTGTGACATCTACTGGAAAGCTGGGAATCTAACTTCCAGTGATACAAACTCTCATTTCTAGTGTGGGTTGTGTGTATAAATTGAGTATATATGATAATATATATAAATTCAATATAAGTTGAACAAAACACCAGTTTAGTCTATATCCCTTAGAATATACAACGTGCTACCACATTATGTAGGATGTGAATCTAATGTGGAAATTTGAAAAGCCAGGCATCTTCCTCTGAAATGATGTAAGCACACTTTAATGCCAAAAGTGTATTTACAAAATATAGGTGTATTCAAGTCTATAAAATGGAATAACCATGGCAATGAAGTTTAAGTAAACTTTTAGAACAGGGGTTCTCAACTTTTTTTTCCTGAGGCTCCCCCAACATGCTATAAAAAACTCTGTGAAACCTGCTTGCAGCCCCCCAGGGGGACCCAGATCCCTGGTTGATAACCAGTTTTAGAATGTAGTTAACTACATTCAGATTAACATGTAAAAAAATCTGTTTACTCTTTAGGCTTTTCAGTTGGCTTGCAGAAAATTGACCTTTCTGTGAAATAGAGAGAGGGACATAAAGCGCTGATCAGACTTAACACCTGAAAATGAAACAAATCCACAAGGCTCTAGCAACAAGGACGTTATATGTTCAGTTACCTTATAAAAGTTGTAGGGGGGAAAAATGCCTTAAATGAGTTTCAAACAGAAAGCCTATGTAAATGTGAACACAGTACAGAAACTGCACTATGTGAAATTGTGTAGTAATTTTATAAACTAAGCCAATGAGAAATCATTACCGTGAACGTAATGTAGGATTCAAATTTCTCAGCATAAGACGCTTTTCAAGGCAGATGTCAAAGTTTCTGATCACTGATTTTAGAGCTCAAAATCTCATTGAATTAGAGTGTTTGCGTAGGATGTCTCACTAGTGTACTGTTGTCCAGCAATAATACGTAAAAAAGCCAACTCCACCTAGCCATCTCTGGAGTTGTACTCTAGGGTAACAAAGTTTGTCCAGACTTGGGTCGTAATTATCATTTCATTGTTGCATAATTTGACACACAGCTTTTAAAATGATAGATCTGGTTCCTCTCACTTTAACACATATTCACTAGAAAATTGTATATTTATTAGAGGAACAGGGAAATGCAGAATCTATGAGCCAGAATCTTGGCATTAATTGACAGTGAGAGTCTGAATTTAGTGAAGTACTGTTAATCTAGGCAAAAAAGCCATCAATTGAATAAGAGGGTTTATATAATGCAAGTAACATTTTTAGATAAATGTATAATTATTGAAACATCCTTGCATATCTCCTTCCACAACTTTCGATCCTCACTCTTGAGAATTAAGAACTATTTTTTAACTACTGCAGAGTAGTTATTCCACAGTGTTCAATGCCAATGTTCTCCTCCAGTGAAACTTAACACTGGGGAAGGACTCAATAGAGTTCAGGCAATTAAATTATACTTGGAGCTAGAGAGGAGCTAAGTATTAGGACCTATCTGCAACAACTTAGTTTTACCAGTGAAATGCTGCCTTCAACGCATGGCTCACATGGAACTAGCATCTGTGAAATTTGTAAATATTTACCAAAATCAATGCATATCCAGTCATCTGTCTCTTTCCCTTCAATCTGAATGTGAGGATCATTTTCTTGTTTCAGTTGCTTGTACTGAAAAGAAGCAGCAAATCAGTGTGAAGACAGATACTTCCAAATGTTCATTCTAAAGTGTTGAAGCCCATCAGGCAGCTAAAGCCTGACAAATTGTCTAAGGAATTAATTTTGAATACGTCACTGGTGAAACGGCTACTGGAATCTACATCCAGTTTTGGTGTCTGTGCTTTCAAAAGGATGTTAAATTTGGAAGAGATTAAAGAATAAGGTCTGGAAAACATGACAGTCCCTTTCAAGGAGCTACATCTATTTTGTTTATTGAAAAGAAGTTAAAAAGGTGACTTGATCATAGTCTATAAAGAACTACTGGACAATTTCTCTTTTCTAGGAGACAAAGACATAAAAGATCCAACGACCAGAAGTTAATGGTAGAAAAATGTAAACTGGAAATAAGATGTAAATATTAGCAATGAGCAAAATTACCCATTGGAACAGATGACCAAAGAACATGGTAAATTCTCCATCTGAAGTCTTTAATACTAGATGCCTGTCTAAAAAGTAGACTGTAGATTATTTTTACCCTTCTTTTAAGAACCTGACTGATTTTTTCCATTGTTCCAAGATCCAGGGGTTTGGGTCTCTGATGATTTTGTAACCAATTGGTTAGGATATTCTTCTCAGCAGAAAGGCCTGGCTGGCTAGGGAGGGTGTCTGACTTCAACAGAAAAATGGTATCACAAATGCAGTCCTTATTGGTTTTGGCAGCATACAGACACCCAAGATGGTAAAGGGCCTGTGTTTACAAAGTTACAACCTAAAATTGAGGGTAAGAATAAGTGGTACAACACATCCCAGTAAAGAATAAGCCCTTTCCCTTGCTTGCTATCATATACTTCTAATATTTTCCCAGTCGGTCTTTAGCTGTTGAAATACTATCTGAATTTTTGCCTAAACTAGAGCAAGGGTCAGCACACACTGCTAAGTGGGTAGCAATGCAGGGAAAGGTTGAGTTGAGGTATTAGGGCTTTTTAAAATATCTCACTGAAAGATAAGTCAAAGCTGCAGTAGGGCAAGACTCGAAGATTTAAGCTCCCAAATGCATCTGCCCTGTGACTTTTTTTTTTTTTTTTAAAGAAAGGTAACATAGTAGTTGTCATCATGCCGTTTACAAGAGGTGGGGCTGGGAGAAGAAATGGACCTAACTAGCTGCCATGCTCTCCTGCCCCAAGCTGTCTCAGGTTTGTTAAAATCTGTGGTTTGTCCAGAAGACTCCCATTTTCAGGAATTCTCTTGTGGGTGCTCGAGTGGCTGCCCAAATCCCACCTTTTTCAGGTTACCCAGGAAAGGGGAGCCCAAATCTCTTCCGAGTTCTATCCTTTCACAGGGACTTCCTCCTCCTGTAGAGCTTCTGCTCAGTAGTACAGAGCTGGTGCTACAAACAGTAGCCACCAGGGGGAGGAGAAGGCTGCAGCCCAGAGCCAAGAAGCCCTTTCCATTAGGCTGGAGAGGAAGGATAGAAAAGACGACTTTCTGGACTTTAGGCAAAAAGGCACTGCTGTCCATAGAGGTACATGCAGTGATGAGCTGCCAAAATCTTAACAAGGTGTTCCCTCCTCACCCCACGAGGGGGTTGTTGCCCATCCCCTGGGACTCCTGCCCCTATCCAACAACCCCCCCCCCGCATTCCTTGATGCCCCCCACTCCCAGGACCCCTGCCCCATCCATCCCCCTCCCCTGTTCCCTGACTGCCCCCAGAACCGGGCAGGAAGGTCTCATGGGCCACCGCAGTGGATGCACACCCCACCCCACTCCACCCGTAAGAGCCAGAGGCACCTGCCGGGGGGGTGAGGTGGGGAGTCCTGGAGGTGCTTACCTGGGGCAGCGCAGGTTACCTGCTGCAGCGCAGGCAGCCCTCCTTGCACCCCCCTGCCCCAGCTCACCTCTACCTTCCTGGGCCTGAGCAGGAAACCGCTGCCTGCTTCTCATCCTGCCCCAGCTTCCCACACAAACAGCTGATTCTTGGGAAGCCGGGGGGGGCAGAGAAGCAGAGCAGGATGGTATGTTCAGAGGCGGAGGCAAGCTGGAGCTAGGGGTGGGGCGGGGAGCTGCCGGCAGGTGCTCTGTACCCACCAAATATTTCCCATGGTGCTCCAGGGCTGTAACACCCATGGATTCGGCGCCTAAGGTGCCACTTTTGGCCACTTAAATTTAGAAGCCCTTTTAGAACCAGTTGTCCCTCGCGGAACAACTGGTTCTAAAAGGCCTTCCAAATTTAACAACCGGTTCTAGTGAACCGGTGCAAACCAGCTGCAGCTCACCACTGGGTACATGGAAACAGCAGGACGGACTGATATAGTACTGACCATGCAAATGAGGTAATGCTGGGTAAGTATTCAATTTAGTATGTTAAATCACATCAATACAAATTCCACAGCTTTAAGCCAAATGCTGCTTGCAGTGATGAATGGAGTATGGCACAGAACACAGGTGCCCCTAGGTTGGGGCTTAACACAGTTCAGCTCTCCTCTTCCAGTCCTACTTCTCTCTGTTAAAACCTACCATTTTGGAAGAAAAAAAACAGGAGACAGCAAGGAATGAGTGAGTAGGATGATAGGGGAGGGGAGATTCAGAGGAGGAAAAAAGGAGAGGGAATAAGGTGGGGAGGGGTTAGAAAGAACCCAAATGCTTAAGTGATCAATGTCAGACTGCAGAACCCACCCTACAGCCAAACAGGAAATAAGAAGGAAAATTGTGGTTCACCTTTTGGATGTTTGTGGCTGGCAGGATCAGCAGCAAAGGCAAGAAGAATACAAAGCTAATGTCAACAGCTACCACTGGTGAAGCGTGTAAGTTACACAGTCTATGTGCTGCACAAGTAAGAGCAAACCAGGCTCTTACAAGACATGAAAGCTGCTCCAGCTGCTCTAAATCTTGGGCAGACCTGGAGTACTATAAGCCTCTTCAACCCCATCTTTGTTTTCAATACAAAAATCCAGCCAGAATAAAAGCTCCCAGAATCCAGATGTGATGAGCAGATGGACTATTTCCTTTCTAGATTTTGCACAGGCTGTGTGCGGCAAGAGATTAATAGGTATAATTCCAACTAAAGGAGGACTGCTGTTCTCCCTTTCCCTCTAGACAGGCACAAAGCTAACTCCCATGAGCAAACCTTGGAATGTGTAATTTTATAGCAATTGCCATTTAAAGGGAGCTAACTGTATCCTATGAATCGGACAAGCTTCATAGGTAATATGCACTTAATTTATGATCTAAAATAGCAGTACTCAAACTGTGGTCCACAGAATTAAATATTTTTGAGAACCAGACTGAAGCACCAGGGGAAGGATTTGGGTGTTATAAGATGGGAAATCTGTAAGATCCAAAAGCTGTTTGCAGAATCCCTGTTCCAAAGTCAATAACCATTATATCACTATCCAAGCACTTTTAGATCTTCTCACAGAGAGACAGAAGAGTTGTGTTTTATGGAAGAGGCCGGAACAGTTGACCCACTCTTATGAAAAATCAAATCATGGACAGGTCAATACAGCTCTGTGCAGGTTTTTACATGAGGTACAAGACAAGAAATTGAGTCTACACATCTAGGTTTCCAACACATCGTAGTATTAGGATGTGTGTGATTCATCTCACCCTCAAAACTGGAAGATAGTCTGACCTCCTAAATCTCAGATCCCATGAGACCCATCCTTTACCATGCTCTCTCAAAAGTGCCCTGAGCACAACCTTGCTCCAAAGAAGATGGGGCTGCCACTCAGCGCAATGGGGAAGCAAAGAAGATGATTCTTAGTCAGCTAAGTTAGAGGTGAGTATGATGCAGACAGCCACATTCCCATTCCCATCCCAGATACTTCCACTGGGTGGCTCTAAGGTCAGGGGAAGTGAAGGCAATTCCATGAAGCTGCTACTGTCCGTCTCCCCACACCGGAACTGGATTATGTTTATTTGTACAAAAAGGGACAATCTACTCCAGTGTTTAAGGCCATGCCTTCCTTTGAAGAAATATGGTATTTAAGTAACAAAGCCATTTTTGCTTAGATCGCTCAACTGCATTTTAAACTTTGAACATTCTAGGATGTCACATATAACCAGAACTAGCATCACTCCACCACCAGTTACCATCCTCTCTGTATTGGGGGCCCAGATTCTCATTCCACAAAACTCTGCACTGCAATCATCATCATTCCTTGTATAGAGAGGTCTCCATTCACAGTCTACGCTTTACATTTTATTTCTTTACCTAAGAAAGCAGATTAGGTTCAGCATCTCCTATTTGTACAAAGGGTAATACTGCATCAGAACAACAAACCTCACCTTGTCTGGTTGCTACTTTAACAGATAAAATGTATATATTTTGCTATGTTTAATTCTCACTTTTGCAAATATTTCACAACATACATTTCCAATTAAAACTATTCAGAATCTAAAGCAAGTGAAGAGTGGAAATAATTGTCCTACCATTTTCAGCATGTAGTGGGCCATAGCATGGAGGTGTCTTGAAGAAGCTCCACTCACAATTATAAAATAATCACTGTATCTCATTTCTGGAGGCACCTGGATAACACAAATGTTGCTAGCATTTTCTTGCCTCAGTAGAGCTATGATAAAATCAATATTGAACTTGGAAAGCGCATGACCTGAAACAAGGAACAAGACTTCAAATTGTGATTTCTCTTTTTAAACAAATTACAAAAACTGTTTACTTAAACTTGCTGAAAAACAATGAAGAGTGAGGGTGAACTAAATTATAATCTATAGCCATCCATTCTGGAATTTGAGATGATGCTAAAAAACAAGGATTGAAATGTGAATTCCAGTTGCTAGAATAATGATATTGAGAAAAACCAAACTCCTGGAAGTTAAAAACAGGGAACTAAACTGATTCTTATGGTTAATAATATTCTGTTACTAAACATCAGTTATTTATATAGCATCCACAGTGTGCTAGACACTTCTCTGACAGCTACAGTAGAACCTAAGAGTTCTGAACACCAGAGTTATACATGGATTGGTAAACCACACACCTTACTTGGAACCGGAAGTACATAATCAGGCAGCAGCAGAGAAGCACCAAAAACAAAAACAAAAAAAGAAAAAGTACAGTACTGTGTTAAAAATAAACTACTAAAAAAAAGGGAAAGTTTTTTAAAAAAAGATCTGACATAGCAAGGAAACTGTTTCTGTGCTTGTTTCATTTAAATTAAGATGGTTAAAAGCAGCATTTTTCTTCCACATACTATAGTTTGAAAGCTGTATTAAGTCACTGTTCAGTTATGAACTTTTGAAAGAATGACCATTACATTTTGTTCAGAGTTTAGAAGAATTTCAGAGGTATGAACCACCTCCATTCCCAAAGTGTTTGTGACTCTGAGGTTCTAATGTAGACAGGGAGCATTAAGATACACTGTTTCTTTAGGTGACTTGTAAGACTTAACAAGAGATAGTGACTTAGTTATTTGTAATTATTGGATATAATATTTCAAATCAATGCTTGTTAAGTTCTAAAAAGCCTGTGATAAGGACATATTAGGTACAATGGGAACAAGTGCACTATAAAATCATAAGTAGGATAAACAAACATATCAAAATTGACCTAGCATAACACACACACTGTGGAAACAAATAATCTTATAAATAGGGCCTTACCAAATTCACAGCTGTGAAAAACATGTCACAGAGCGTGAAATCTGATCTCCCTGGTGAAATCTGGCTACTGTAAGGGAGATCAGATTTCACAGAGCTGGGCAGCTAAAGAATAGTGGCTGCTGGCCAGAAGCCCAGCTCTGGAGGCAGCGCAGAGGTGAGCGTGGCATGGTATGGAGGCTGGCGTTTGTCACTTTTTGGGGTGACATTGCTGGCCTTACAGGTGAGCTACCACCTAGGGCCCCATGATCAGGGGGTGCCATGGTCAGTCTCCCCACACACAGCCAGACCAAGGCCCCTTTAACTCCTGAGCACTAGGCCTGGATTCAGGGAGGGGCAGGGCGGGGGTGCCTCTGCCAGGGGCTCATACGGTGCGCTGGGCTTTAGCTGCTAGTCCCAGACAGGCTGGGGAGGGATAGGACTTCCTCTTCCCCTGCACAAGCCCCTCCCAGGGCCAAGTGAGACCCACCTCTGGGATCCTCACCTGGCTGCAGGAAGTTCCAGGGCTGCTAGCCAGCTGTCCAGCTCCGAAGGCAGCAGTGCAGAAGGGTGGCAATACCATGACCCCCCTACACCAGCCTTGTGATGTGCACACACACCCCTCTTTTGGATTGGAACCCCCACAGTTACAACACTGAAATTTCAGATTTGAATATATGAAACCGTGAAATTTACAATTTTAAAAATGCCATGACAGTTAAATTAAGTGAAATGGACCATGAATTTGGTAGTGGCCTACTTGTAGTCCTAACCTGGTCTCATCATTTCTAACAGACCATAGAACCTTGTCTACAGACCCACTCTTACCAATTTAACTAAATCCATTCAGAAACTGACATAGATCAGCACAACCCCCTTGCATGCACAGTTTTAACTAATTTGTTTCTAAATAGATTTATTCAAATGGGTACAATTTGTGTGTGTAGCTAAGACCTAACTAGGTAAAACAAGGTCTGTTTCTATTTGTCAGTAAGGTGCAATGCCACTTCCCCTACATGGAACTGTAAAATTAACAGAGCATTCCTGAGTTCATATTCATTACCTATCAACCTTAATACAGAGAAAAAGCCAAATAAGGAGGCAATAACCAGATGTGTATATAGCATGAAACTGATCAGAGGCCTGTAAAACAAACAAACACATGAGCCCCTCGGCTCCCCCAGGCACACAATCAAAATGACTGCTACAGCCAGGTCTACTCTAGAAGAGGTTTGCTGATGTAGCTATACCAGCAAGCTCTCCTAGTGCAGACACCGCTTATTCTCTAAGGGAAATAAGCTATAATGGAAAGAGTACTTTTATGCCAGTATAAATAAGTATACCCTAGGGTTTTTGTAAATATGGAAATGTGAGTTTGTCTGGTTCACCATGCCCTCCTCCCATTGATATTATACCAACAATAGTTTCTAGGGGAGACCTGGCTGACATCTGTGGCAAAAGAGTTTATCTTCTTCAGCAGAGATGTGTGAAACAACTTTGTGCAGTATACATACCTGTACCTCTACCAAAAGCTATATTTAACTTGAAAACTTCACAAGAATGCTCCACTCATGTTTTGATCCCTTTTGATCCTCCCCCTTTTCTGCCAGCCTGAAGCCTGTGTCCTCAGCAGAAATTAGAATGTATATACAAAAACATTAAATACAAATCATCTTCAAAGATTTGGATTCCACAGCTGAAGAGGACCCTGAAAACCAATAGTTTTACTCTGTCTCATCTTTGACTGTAGGACACAGTATATTTTTCTTTCTTTTGTCCTGTGTTTTATTTACCCTCTTCCACTAGCTTGCCTGGGTGGGGATGGTTTTGTGTCACAAAACCAAGACATACAGGTCAGAGGAGAGGGACCTTCAATTCATACAGTATGTTCATGCCCAAACTTGCAGAATCTTTACATAATCTTCTGTAACAATATTTTATCTACAGCAGAGTTGGAAATTCTTGCTAATCCTCTTTTACTTTTTATTTACAAAAACACTAATTTTGAACAGGTATTGAATTCCTAGCAGTGAAACACTGTGCTTTATTGGAAGAAGGATCTTAGTGGTGTGAAATGACAGACTTTAGTAGTACGACTGATCCCACTGAAGATTCTTAGGATCAGAATTAGTTTTTAAACTAGTCATGCATACATATCACATGTGGAGTCAAATAAGACCACCAGCACTGTGTGTGTTTAGACAGCTGTCAAGATTTACTCTCTGGGAAAGGAGGAAGGGAGACCGAACCCCCCACTGTCATGGCCACTGGGGGTGGGGGAGAGAGGAGAAACTGTTTTTAAGACAGTATTTACACACATCCACTGCAGTGACAGAAGATTTTGCTCCCTCTTTCATAGAGAAATTAGAACAGTTTGCATTTACACCCAAAAAGTGCCCCAGCCAGTTTACTCCAAATGGGTCTTAGAACATGGGCAGATGATGCTGTCTGCAAGTCTGGGGACTTTTTCTATCTGAGCTGGTATGGACATGGACTAGCTGTTCTACAGTGCACCAGGCATCTTCTAAAATGTCCCAGAATGCACTGTTTCTGCAAGCTGTGGGGCAGGTGCCCAGAAGGCACTGCACAGACACAGGTTACAGACGCACTAGCATGGGCATGGAGCAGCTGGCCGTCCCCGAACCAGGTGCATGCAGCAGGGCAGTACGGCTGTACTGACCCATGTGCCCACCCACTGGCTTTCTCCAGTCAGTTCAGAAGCACGGCCCAGCACCCCCATTTGCCTGGGTCAGAGCCCAGAGCTTCCTGGAGCACATCTCGCTGGACACCCCCCCGGGGCTAGGCCCCCACGCAGGCTGGGGATGGCTGGGGAACCCTGGTTCCGTGCAGGGGCAACCAATCCTCAACTCCCTGGGCTGAGCTGAAGTGAACAGGGGCTTGGTCTCCCCCACGCCAGGCACTGCCCCGTGGGATCGGAGCAGCGGGGTGGGGGACGGGCGCGGTGTGCAGGGCAGGGGCCGGGCGGCTCAGCCCGGGGAGGGGGCGAGCAGTGTGTAAGGCGGGGGCGGCACACGCCCGGCACACGCCGTACCTGGGGCCCTGTGCTCCTGCTCGGCTCCTCCGCCCGGCCGCAGCTCCGCGCTGGGCCCGCCGCCGAGGGCCCGCCGCGCCCAGCAGGGAGCGCAGCGCCCAGCGGCCCCCAGCCGCAGCCCCCTCGCCGCCGGCAGCACCAGCCCCCGCAGCCAGCGGCTGCCCCGCCACATGTCGCCGGGAGTCGGGACACGCAACGGAACTCCGGCGGCGGCAGCGTTCTGAGACACGCCCCCATGGCGATCCCCGCTCTGATTGGCTGCCGTAAATACCGCCTCCTACACTGACTGGCCGCGCGCCGCCCTCTGGCCCGAGGAATGGCGCAGGCGCAGTGACTGCCCGGAGGTGGGTTGGGTCCCGCCCCCCAGTGGGAGGTCGCTGATGTGAGTCCCCGGCCCCCCCTTTCCGGACACCCCTGACCCGGGGCAAGCCCACCCCAGCCAGCCGGAGGCGGCGCCGCAGCCCCGGCTGGCGTGCGGGAGAGCGCGCAGGCGCGCACCACAGACTCAGAGACTGTCAGGGTTGGAAGGGGTCTCAGGAGCTCATCTTAGTCCAACCCTTTCCAATCCCCAATTTTTGCCCCAGATCCCTAGATGGCCCCCTCAAGGATTGAACTCGCAACCCTGGGTTTAGCAAGCCAACGCTCAAACCACTGACCTATTCCTCCATCCTGCACCGTGGCTTGCTGCGGGTTTCTCTGAACAGCTCTGGCCGGTTAGCTTCAACTGGGAGAGCTTCAACTAGGAACAAGAAAAGGAGGACTTGTGGCACCTTAGAGACTAACCAATTTATCTGAGCATGAGCTTTTGTGAGCTACAGCTCACTTCATCGGCAGCTGGGCACAGAAACGTTGAACCGTCGCTCGCCGAGGCTGTTGTGATAATAATGGAAATCTTTAAAAAAAAACAACCCGACAGACTAAATTATTTTTTTGGCAACTGGCAAAATCCATTTAAAAAAAAATAAAACAAAGAAAACCTGTCCAGGCCAGTCAAATACTGGCCGGATGGTAACCCCAGCAGCCATTGCTTATAACCCTAGGCACCAGGGGTCACCACAGCAAAGAGCCCCAGGGGCTGTCGGTGCCTCAGTGCTCTAGGCCAGGAGGGAGCCTGGTGCCGACTCCTGGGGCATTGCGGGGCCCTTTGCAGGGGTGCCGTGTGTGCCTCCCCGGCGGTGGCAGGAGGATGCTGAGAACAGTGCCAACGCTGCCAGGTGTAGGGCAAGTCCCATAACCAGGGAGGTTTTCCTGCCCGCCCCAGCTGCTGGCGTCATGTTATCGCTTGAGCCATGCGGCTTGCCAAGCAATAAAAGTGCATTCATAGCCCTGATGATTGCAGCAGTGTTTAATTTGTGCCCAGGGCTGAATCCTGACACCTCTGGGCTTGGTACATCATAGCCCTGGCACCTCTGGGCTTGCCGCATCAGTTATGAAAGTAAAAAAATTGTTTGACCCCAGCACCTAATCACTTGAGCCCTGGCCCCTCTTCCATGACACGTTAAGCGCTACATCCAAGTGCCCCCAAATGGTTTGAAAAAAATAAACAGAGCAGAGGGAACCTACATAGAATCATAGAATATCAGGGTTGGAAGGGACCCCTGAAGGTCATCTAGTCCAACCCCCTGCTCGAAGCAGGACCAATTCCCAGTTAAATCATCCCAGCCAGGGCTTTGTCAAGCCTGACCTTAAAAACCTCTAAGGAAGGAGATTCTACCACCTCCCTAGGTAACGCATTCCAGTGTTTCACCACCCTCTTAGTGAAAAAGTTTTTCCTAATATCCAATCTAAACCTCCCCCACTGCAACTTGAGACCATTACTCCTCGTTCTGTCATCTGCTACCATTGAGAACAGTCTAGAGCCATCCTCTTTGGAACCCCCTTTCAGGTAGTTGAAAGCAGCTATCAAATCCCCCCTCATTCTTCTCTTCTGCAGGCTAAACAATCCCAGCTCCCTCAGCCTCTCCTCATAAGTCATGTGTTCTAGACCCCTAATCATTTTTGTTGCCCTTCGCTGGACTCTCTCCAATTTATCCACATCCTTCTTGTAGTGTGGGGCCCAAAACTGGACACAGTACTCCAGATGAGGTGCCCCCGACCCCCAGCGTTACTCTTTTTTAAAAAGATCTCAGGATTTATAAACCAATCTCAGGCTTTTGGGGGGGACAGATTCATGATTTTTGACCACCTGGGGTTGGTAATACGCCCACCAAACACACACGGTGTTCCCATCTTTGCCCTCTGACTTTGCCCTATGAGTGCTGCAAGATGAAGAGGTGGAGGGGGCGGGACTGGAGAATCTGGTCATTTGTTCCTCATTTTTTTAAAGTAAAATCTTTTTTGTGGCCAGTCAAGAAAGGAAGCAAAAAACACTTGCCAAACAGATTTATGTAATGGACCTGTTGTCCGCAATGTTTATACTTTGTTCCTGAAAAACAGCCAGAGCATATAGGTAGTATAGCACTATTGCTCAGCTTGTGTGATTTGAAATGGGTGAGAGCTCCTGTGTGGAACATCCCTTGGCACATAATTTGTGGAGCTGGTCAAGAAAATGGAAAAATGTATGTCAAAGTTGTTTCCATTTCGTAGTGTTCTAAGTGGAACCGTTGTCTGTTTTTTTTTAAATTATTTGGTAAATGGGGACTGGGCCGGGGACTCAGATCAGCGAGCTCCCACTGGGGGCGGGACCCATTCCATCTCCCCCCCCGCCCACCTCCAGGCAGTCACTGCGCCTGCGCCAAATTATTTGCTCAATTTTTTTTTAAATAAAGCAAAAATTCATTTGCAAACAACAACAAAAAATCTCAAAAAAACCCTCATTTTTCTTTAAATTTTTAATTTTCGTTAAAATTTCAACTTAAAGTCTGTGAAAATTTCACCTAGCTCTAATATTTTGATAACACCTGCTCTGTGGCAAACTCTGATCTATTCAAACTATGAGCTTCAGGAGTAAAGCATCAATGGAAGTGGAAAGGGTTGCATTATAGTTACTAGGATGTTAAATTTTGCTTAACGTTGGAAGGCCCAGTCTTGTAACTCTTGTTCATATGTCAGTCTTACTCATGCAAGTAGGTCTTCTCAGCATTAATGGAAATACTTGCGTGATGACTAAACGTGTAAGGATTTGCGGGATCAGGTAAAGCTGTCACTTTAAAGAAAAACAACATAACAGTTTGAGAACTCAGTTGTTCTTCTCTTTTGCTTTCATTACTACACATTTTGAAAATAATGATATTCTTGAAGGAAACTGGAGCTTTTTACACATTGATATATAAACTCTATGCAAGTATCAGTTCATCCACCACTGAAATGCAGCTAACTCTGGGGTGTATTTAAAAGTACACAGCAACACTACACTATGGTGTACGTTAGGAAGAAAAAGAATACATTTTCCAAGAGAACTAATAGGGTAGATTTATATAGACAGAATGAAATGATCAGAGTTGCAGTTGAAATGATCAGTTAGTTGCAGAATTAACAGCCTTGTTCTTATGAAGTGTGTGTTGGACTCTTTAATGATCAACACTGATCACCATAGTGTACATAGCCTGATTGCAAATCTTGGGGACAGGTTAAATAATGGAGACCACCCAGCTGTTGCAACATACACTCTGATCTGCAAACTAATTAATGGCTTGGCCTAACCCAGTTTAGCTTGTGATTTCTGTGTGGATACTGTATATCTAACATGTGCTATGCATAACTATGGCACTAAATAAATAATAATAATAGGATCAGACTACAAGGCAATTAGGCTGCACCGTATAAAACTAAAAAGCAAACATATTTACATGTGGTGGTTGGTTACTCATAGACTTTAAGGTCAGATGGGACCATCATGATTATTTTGTCTGACGTGCATGTTGCAGGCCACAGAACCTCACCCATCCATTTCTGTAACAGACCCATACCCTCTGGCTGAGTTACTGATGTCCTCAAATCATAATTTAAAGACTTCAAGTTACAGAGAATTCACCATTTACACTAATTTAAACCTGAAAGTGACGAACGTAGGCTGGAATCAGGGCAAATTCTCTGTGTAGACAAAGCTCAATACCATCCTGCTGAGAAAATCAGGCCAAAGCATCTGCCTTCGCTGCTTCCTCCAGCCTATTTTGGAACAACCACTTCAGTTAAATTATAACACTGATTTAGTAATATATTGCGGTGTTAAAGTACACAGTAACAAATATACCAGGCTCTGGAAATTATTTTGGACTGAAAAAAATTGTATTAATGTGTTTTCGCTGGAAAAAGGAAAGGATCAGGAATTGGAATAGTAAACCAAAGGAAAGAAAAGTCTTGGGCAAACTATAATCATGGACTCAAACTTTTTGTACCCTTCTTTCAAACAATCCAGCCTCATATAGGGAGTCACAGTTGGTACAAAAACAGTTTTTGTTGTTTCTTTGTATGTAATATGAATGTGTTTATGCACTTTATGAATAATAGGTGCATACAAAATGCATAATTTTTAGTCATATAATGCACAAGCAATGCTAATTAATATGCTTAGCATAATACAGACTAGTCTTGCTAAGGCAGGCTGATAGCAAGTGTTAAAAAAAAACAAATGTCAGCAGTTTATGATAACAGAAAGTATAGCAGAGTCCAGCTAATACTGAGCTCCCCCCTCACACATTTACTGAACCAGAACACATAGGATCAAATGCCACTAATTGTAGAGGAGAGAAAGAAAATTACCCTACGGTTATGAGACTTGTTCATAAGGCAGCATATGTCACTGGGCTGAAGTGAGTGAAAAGATACTTAGAAGAAACAAACTCTGAGACAAAAGGCATCATGAGACTGGAAATAATTCCAAGCCAGCTCTTCCTTTGAAGGAAACTCCTCCCCCACTCCCAACCCAAAGCTAGCATCATGAAGTATTGACATCTCATTGTGTGTCTGTGCTAAAGAAATTGTTTGGTTCAAACATATCTTGAAGCTGCTGCAGACTCAAGCATGAGCTAGTATCTAGAAACATCTGCTTTTGTTCTGCAGGCCACCCGCCTGCATCCAATTCCCCCCTCACTTCTCCAAGAAGTTAAAGGGCGCTTCTAAGTTTACGCATCAAGTTATTCCCTGGTGTGGCTTGAGAGTCTTTATCTTTGACAGTTCATGTGCATACATTAGCATATAATATTAGGGAATACCAGTTCCATGGTGATGGAAGATTAACACTACAGCACAGGCTGGAGTCACAGCATGCCTATACTGGAAGGTTGGATGAGCAAATCTATTCTAACCCCTAGTTTTCACTCCATTATAACTGTCTGAGAAAATGCCTGAAAGGAGTGAATTTTCTTATGCTTAGCATCCGCCTACATGTGACTTTTTTTGTATGGAAAAACATTAAATCTGATGAGGCATTTTTTTTAGTTAGGCTGCTATGAAAAATGTGTGCGTTTGTTTTCTAAAAAGCTTGTTAATAATAATGCACTCCTGTAACTCAAAGCCAGCTTGCTCAATAACATGTCATACAACTCATTCTTGCTGGCATGTTTGAAATTATCTTGTTTCCAAATAAGAGATTTATTCATGTTTGAATTCCCTCTTCTTTTGAGGTAGAGATATTTGCTAATGGTGGATCTCCTAAGGCTTGCATGAGAACTGTACATCTCCTAGTATTTATGTGTCTTAGTCTTCATCACTTGCTGTTTCTTTTAAAGGTGCTGAGTTCCGTGATTATTCTGGTTCTCTTCTGGAAGTGGGTTCCACGGTTCATGGGTCAGTTGCTGAGAAAGCTCACCTCACTCCTAAGATTGATAGCGCCTTTGTTCTAGTTAAGGTTGAAAGGAAAAAGTGCAGCAGGAGGCTTAGATTCCCACCACCGAAAAGGCAATGGGATGATAGAATGGCACAGGTTACTTTTGATTCACTTTACATTTACAGTGTAACTGCAGGTCCCTTTGGGTCATCTCTTAGGAGTAGCGACTGTCCTGGTGCCCAGTAAGTAGGTGACTCATTTGACTAGGTCACTCATTTGACTACATCTCCTTACAAGACAAAGGTAACATCCTGTTTGAAATCTCCAGATAGTTTATTGTCCAATACAGCATCAGATCCCATTAGATAAAAACAAATATGTATTTACTGGAAGTTACAGCAAAGAAGATAGAAAATAAAAAGGAGTAAACGTTAATCCCCTAACATGAGATGTAAAGGAAGATTCTCTGAGCTTTTCCATATACACAGGTTAAAGTATCAAATGTATTTCTTTTCTAAGCATGGCTGGAAGCGGCCCTTTGTATAAGAGCTGATGATGCCTCTGAATTCCTGTATAGCACATAGTGTTCTCTGGGAAGTAACACGCTGTCTGCTTAGAACCTAGGACACCAACAGCCCACATCAGCTTTGATTCAAAAGTGATACAATTGCAACAGAAGTGAACTGCTACTAAGTTTTTATTAAAAACTTTCTCCTGTTTCAAGTTAGGGAAATGCATAAAAATTAGAAGTGTCCTCTTTCCTGTCACTAAATCCGTATTTACTTTTATTTAAAACCATATCTTTATTATGCTCTTTCAACCTGAAAAGCAGGCTCGTGTATATACACAATGTATTTCACTAACTCTCTTTGTAAGGCTAAAAGTTGCATTTGCTGACTTTCTGAAAGGAGTGCCATCAACATGCAACTGCACCAGTACTCCCTGTTCTGTGCCGCTAGTAGTTTTAGTTCCCATCTGCACTACCAAACGATATTCCTCGCTTTTGTACTAGAAAAATGCAAACTAAGGGTCCTGGCCTGTCAATACTTTCGACTCCCATTAGTAAATGTTTGAAGGACTGGGTCCTTAAAACTCACGGGCCAGATTCTTAGCTGCATCAGAGCTCCACTCAGTTCAGCTGAGGGGCTAGGAATGGGCAAAGGTCACCTTTAGCTTCCTTGAACTCTGGAGTAACTTAGAGCTGCCTAAAGGCTGCTTTATCTTATGCCTGGCTGCAGTGATACCCAATGGGGCACTTCCTCAGCCAAGGATCACTGAGTATGGTAGAGTTCTGACTGTGCCCCGACATAATCCTTGTGCCAGGTCTGGTGGGGTCCATCAGCTCTACACCAGATAGGGATTCCCCTACACCAAGGCAATCCCAATGACCCAATCAGCTTTAATCAGGTGTTGGGATCTAACCCGATAAGCATAGCTATCAAACAGAGTCATACTGATCCAGTTGTTCCAACTTGCCGCAACTGGTTTAACTAAACTACTCCCAGATTTTGAAAAAGCTTCTAGTTTGGATTAAGAGATGGAACTGTTCTTCCATTGATGATTAGTTGTAATTAAATTAGCACTTAGCTATCAAGTTGATTGACGGCTCAAATACCTATGATGGGAAGCTAGACTGTAGTGCATATGTCAAAAAGCAAACATTAGAGCGGACTTATCCAAGATTTGTGTGTGTGTGTGTTTAAATTCATCTTTGTTTGCAAGATTCATCGATTTGTCCGTTTTATCATCAGAAGGGACCATTATGATCATTTAGTCTGACTTCTGCATAACAGAGGCCATAGAACCTCACCCAGTAATTTTTGCATCAAGCCCATAAAATAAGTAATTTAATGTATAAGGAGGGCAAGAGAGTGACCAACACAGGTTTTTTTTAAACTAATATTTGTGCAATGGCCAGAGCAAAACTAAAAAATACTGCATCCTGAAAGGTTTCAGAGTAGCAGTCGTGTTAGTCTGTATGCGCAAAAAGAAAAGGAGTACTTGTGGCACCTTAGAGACTAATAAATTTATTTGAGCGTAAGCTTTCAAATAAATTTGCTAGTTTCTAAGGTGCCACAAGTACTCCTTTTCTTTTTGCATCCTGAAAGGTTTCTAAGGAAAGCGCTAATCCCATAAGTGTTTGTACAATTATTGATATTCTCAAACTATTAACAAGTATGTATGGTGGAGTGTAGGGTTTATTTTAGGGCATCAGGCAACAGCTACCAGGAAAACAGCAAAATATGGTTATGTTTATATTGCCCTTCAGAGCCTGAGAGAGGAAAGATGTATTAGGGATGTTCCAGATTAGAAGGAATAAAGGAGAATCCAAAATTGTTCACAGTTGGGATGGCAATGATTAGGTCTTCAACGATTGGTGTTTAGAAATGGGTAAGTGAAATTAGCCACCCACTCCCAAACTAAAAGTTAGTTTTGTTCTGCTTTAAATTGTTATGTTAGATATCAGGTTATTATACAGAGGCTCGCATTTAGAGTATTTCTGGCTGTCTTCCCCCCCACAAGGATTGAACCTTCTCAACAACACTCTTCTCACAGACAAGACACTCTCCTCTTTTGATATCCCCCTGTGATCCAGTCTTCAGAAGGGTGCTTTTATTTCTAAGAGATAAGCAGAAAATTGCATCCAGGGCTAAACTCCATGATATGGAATTACAAGAGTGAGTGGCTGAAAGACAGGGTTTTGCTAGCTCACTTGAGAAAGATATCAAAGTGATATTTGTAGTTGAAAGTTAACACAGCACAGCAGCTGCATTAAGCAAGAAAAGGCACATCACCCTTCTAGATATTGACAGTTTCTCAGCTGCTTAGTGGACAAGCAGAAACTGTAGAATATTGCCCTACCCAGCTTGGGGTTTTCATTTATTTGGAGGGAATAGTTGAAGAAAGAGGGACAGGAGGATCAAGCAGAAATTAGTGGCTGTTTACAGAGAGCAAGATGAAATTGAAGAGAAGGAGGAAAAAAAGCCCCTCTTAGTTCTCTTTACTAATAGTTGAATGATATAGAATCTTTCTCCTGTTACCACCACTCTGCTGGGCCTCATCTTTGTCTCCCCTCTGGAATACAGCAGGTCCTTCTGACGCAGATAGGACACATTGTTGTCGATGGCAGTCAGTTCAGATGGCACAAAACCAGTAGAAACAACAGCTACCAGAGGTAGCAGCAACAACTACAGTAAGAATTTTAAATGGACTGTTTAGTAGTTGGTTTAGGAGGAGCCAAGTAGATTGGGTTTCTTTGTTCACCTGTTGTCCTGATGTCAGTGATCTAGATTTATAAAACGACTGAGGGTTGGCCATTATGGCTATTCTCCATGTCTTTCAACCTCACAAAGCCCAGACTGAGGGATGCATACAGAGGGGGGGTAAACTAGGACACTGGGACTGTGCAATTCTTACTAAAGATCTAAATACTGAGGAGGTAAAAAATATCTAGCCTCTTCTCTCAAGCTACAAATTAACCTAGGTGAATTGCATAATCATGCCCAGTCTAGAGTGGTTTATTATTCAATATTGTGTGATCCAGATCATAAGCAAGAACAGTGAGTAATCAGTGAGTAATCAGAACTCCATTTTTGAAAAGAAGCCATTTTCCATTTCTAAATAAATTGAAACAAAATGTACTGACCCATCTGCGCATATCTGGAGGTTTACCCTAATCCTTTGTTTTCATACTAAGTAGTCATCCATTGAAGTACAGTTCAGCCATAAACCCCACATATAGACTCTAATATCAGAGGTTACACTAAAGATTTAAACAATTCCTGGTTTGGTTTTCAGCAGAGGATCTCTCTCATTGTTCCCAGGGAAGAGAACAGCCTTGACATTGTTGAAGTAAACATTCAGTCCCTCCCTGTTCTCCACTTGTTCTGCACTTCTTTCAATAGGTTTGTACTCTTTGTATCTCCTGCAAGGAACATTGTAAAGTTAGTTACTGAAATTAACATGGCACTGGGAGTATGTGAGAGAGCCAAATATTGATACCATGTTTTCCTCCACCCCCCCCCCCAACTGGAAACCACCATAGGAGGCTGTTGTGACTAATTCCGAATGATCGTGTGAGAGCTGCCAGGTCTAGAGAGGTTATTAAGGAAAATAAGAGAGGGCCAGAGAGGATTTTGTGCTGTTGTGCACACAGTTCTGAGTTCACTCAGAAAGAGAAGCTCTCGTACACCCTGCCTTACCACACTGCATTTTGGGGCAGCGGCACTGGAACAGGTTTTACAGTGGAGGTGCTGAAAGTCATTGAACAAAACTGTACGTCTTGTGTATGATGGAAACAACTTCAAGCCAGGGGATGCTACTGCACTCCTTGTCCCAGCACCCCTGTTTTGGGGGCAAATACTTGAACTCTCTTCAGGGCCCTGCTCACCATGGAAGCAAAACTGTGCTAGCTGTGACTTTGTGTAAACGTGTTTTGTTCTGACAAGGTTCTAGCATGATTTCCCTGGCCAATACTGTGCGTATTGTAGCCAATCTGTGTTCTTGACTACTCCCTAACTATGAGTATAGTCCAGGGGTGCCGGAAGAGGGGGGCCCAAGGGACCATGGCCCCCTGTAGATTTAAAAGGCCACAAAGGCAGGCGACGAGGGAGGGGAAGAGGAGTGAGCGTGGGAGGGGTCTTGGGGGGAAGAGGTGGTGCTGGAGTGGGGCATTAGGGGAAGAGGCAGCACGGGGTGGAGCCTCGGGGGAAGGGGTGGGGCAGGGTCTCAGGGAGAAGAGCAGCACTAGGGCAGGGCATTGGGGGAAGGGGCAGTGTGAGGGTGAGGTTTTAGGGGAAGGGGCAGAGGCAGGGCCACGGGGGAGGGCCCGGGGAGGCACAGATTGGGCTCCTGTGCCCCCCCCCCACACACACATACACTTTTAGGGCACTTCCTCTGCTCCTGGTATAGTTTTATAATCTGCTTCTAATACAGTTCACAGACAAAAAATCCCTGTTCATACAGGCTCAAAGAAACTGTACTAGAAACTTGCTAGTAACAACCATATTTAAACTGCTGTGATAAAGGACAGGGTAAATGCATGCAGATGGTAATAAAATGTAAGCCTGAAGAACAAGGTACTTAGTAATTAGAAAGAGTGGGAATACTCTTAGCTAGAGCTATGCCAATAATTTATATGATGAATTTGACTGTCTTTTTTTTTTACTGTAAGCTCTCTGGGTCAGGGAATGTTATTCACTATATGTTTGTACAATGCCTAGTACAATGGGATCCTGAAGGCCTGATACTGCAATGTAAATGTATCTGTTTGTGAATTGTCTGCAAGCCCTTTACTATTTTCTCAAATGTATTTATTAGTTAAAGTTATTTGATTAACAATTTTGATTAATATTCTTAGTCTGCAGATCATTCATACACATTTTATTATGAGTATTCTAAATCTGAAACTTAAGATGTGTTGGTTAGTTTTGATTGGACACATAAGTCACCTTGTATTATTTCCTCTCTCTGATTAGATGAGTGAAATTTTTAGAACCATGTTTCCAGTCTGACTACTTGTGCTGATGAATTCAAAATTTGTTTTCCATGATATTCTTTAATATTCACCCACAATGGTTTTATGAGCATTATGGCCAGTAAACTCATTTGCTGAAATATATGTGGAAAGCAAGCCCAAAAAGGATGCAAACACAGCCAAAATAAATTCAATTTTTTATCCATCTGAATATTCATGCAATTATTTTGTCATCCTGATCTATTTCTTAACTGTTGGAACCAGCAACTTACTTGTGAAGAAGGAGAGTCACAAAGATGAGAAACGCCACCAAGAAACCTGAGGTGATCAAGACACCTTCCACTGTCCTCGAAGATGACCCTGGAGCTTGAATAACAAATTTGTTTTAAAAATTCTATACAGTGAGGTACAATTTTCCAGCAGCACCATTCTTTCTGCCACGTGACTCTAGAAGGTGCAGTATGTTTAACACTCCCTTCACGCTAAACAGTAGGGCTCAGCAGCATTCACAGACTGTAGGGTCCAATTCATCTTTGATGCCAGCCAAATTATACTAAAGATGAATACTTTAAGAGTGCCTTGTATGTTTCCATATGAAATATATTGTTTGCTGACTGTAACATGCAAATACCTTTACAATGTGCAAAGGAACTGCAGGGCTAGCTGGCATCCCACAAGATTTGGAGTTACTTTGCTACTTGCCCTGTTGGTATGCTACAAAGGGAATGTTTAAATTAAGAGTACAAAGTACTTAATCATTTTATAACCCGGAGAATAAGAATTAGCATGTCATTGAGGAGTAGGGTTTGAGGGAGGAGAAAGAATGGAATCTCTCTGGTATCTTTTCATTTGCCCTAGCCGTGCGTTCTAGTGATTCCCCTCTCCGTCCAGGATTGGACAGGACATCCTCCTGAGAGGACTGAGTGGCTGTAGATGGGGTGATTGTTGGTGATGATGTGATGCCCTTCCTAGGGGTTGAGTGTTCTGCCTTTGTAATATTGGCATCTTGGGGAATTAACTCTTGACCCAGCCTGTGATTCCCTCTGTTGTTCTGCCACCAAATTTTCAGGACACCTCTGAGACTGACTTCAAATTCAGAGACCATTGCGCTTGGGTGCAGTTCTAACCCTACTAGATCTGGCACAGGGGAAACTGAATAAATAAATACTGTTAATTATTATTTACTTTTATGATCTGTATTAAGCTTCTTAATTCTCCAGTCCAGAGGCTGCTTTTCAATCTATGTGGTGAGTTTACTGATGCTGAGTCATGCTCTTGCTTATTGCATTCACAACTATTTTTATAAAGCAGAGTAAACTAGAGATACACATTGATTTGGACCTAATTTATTAATCCATAGTTACTATGTAAATATATTCAAATCAAGACTTTAAATTAGTTTTAACAGTTGACCTAATCTATGTAAACCATACCATCTTGCAGTGTGTTATTATAAATGTTTGGATAAGCCTGACAGTAATGCTAGTTTACACCTTGCATAATGACAGGTTTCAGAGTAACAGCCGTGTTAGTCTGTAGTCGCAAAAAGAAAAGGAGGACTTGTTGCACCTTAGAGACTAACCAATTTATTTGAGCATGAGCTTTCGTGAGCTACAGCTCACTTCATCGGATGCTCATGCTCAAATAAATTGGTTAGTCTCTAAGGTGCCACAAGTACTCCTTTTCTGTTTGCTAGTTTACACCATCGTGCTTGTGAAGACAGCAGCCAGGGATGTACATTCCTGTGTGAATCACATGTACCCTTATGTGATTTGGAAAACATTATACATCCCAGGGGCATGTATACATTGTGGAACTACATCCTATCTAACAGTAGTTTAAATACACATAAACTGGACTTTTGTTAAACAGTTGTGCTGAACGCCACACCAATTTAGAGAGGGCACAATCCTGCAAAGCACTTAGGGCCAGATTTTCAAAGGCATTTAGGCACCTAAAGATGCAGATAGGCACCCAGTGAAATTTTCAAAAGCACCTATGTCCCTCTCTCCTATTGAAATCAATGGGAGTTAGGCTCTTAGGTGCTTGTGAAAGTCCCACTAGGTGCCTATCTGCATCTTTAGGCAGCTAAATACCTTTGAAAATCTGGCCCAGAGTGCCCCCAGCTGTTATGGACTCACCAGATCTGGAACAAACTAAATAAGATCTGCTGAAAACAGTGTTGTGAATGAACAGCAAAGGCTACTTCCTCAGATTATGTAAATTAGCCCAGCAATATTGAAGTCCATGGTGAGGCAGTGTAGTCTAGTGGCCAGAACACTAACCTAGGACTTGGAGACCAGGCTGCACTTTCCTGGTCCACCCCAGATTTCCCTGTGTCAGCTTGGGTAAATTACTCAGCCTCTCTGTGTCTCAGTTCCCCATCTGTAAAATGGGGAAAATGGCACTTCCCTGCCTTACAGGGCTGTTGTGAGGAGAAATTCAATAAAGATTGTGGGCATATGAATACCTTAGATTGATAGACGGCCCTGAGTTCTAATCCTGATTTTACGACTCACCTGCTGGGTAACCTTAGGTAAGTCACTTTCCCTGTCTGTGCCTTTGTTTTCTCCTCACACCCTTTGTCTCTCTTTTCTATTTAGATTAGAAACTCTCTGGGGGAAGGGACTATCTTTTACTATGTGTTTGTATAGTTTCTCACATAATGGGGCCCAATCTCAGTTGAGGCCTCTCAGTAGTGTCATAATGGCAAATAATTAATAATACACACGCACACACACTTCCCTGTGAAATGGCCATGAAGAGAAGGTATTCACAGATCTTCAACATCTGTTCCATTTGGACTCACCTCCATTTACAGATATAAGGGCACTTGCGAGGGCTTGGCTTGTATCATCACCCAATGTAATGTTTACACAGTAGGTTCCGGGCTCATTGAAGGCTCTTCTGATGGTCAGTAAGCATTGATCAGTAACTTCAACAGGGTCACATACCACATTCTGTGACACCTGGCATGTGGGGTCAGAGACTATTGTACAGGCATCTGTAGGAAGACTGGGGGAAGTGTGAGAGAGAAAATGAATGTATACTACTACTAATCTAAATCATAGATTCAGTGGGCCTGATTATCCTCAGTTGGACCTGTTTTGTGCTGGTGCAACTCTGTTGGAATCAGTGATGTTAGACCAATATAAAACTGGCCCAGTAGCTTTACTCTTCCATTAAATTAGCTGCTTGGCATAACACTCATTATTTTCTGACTACAGAGGACTTCACATTTTCCCCACTTCACTCCTACAAGCATACATAATTTCACAACTATGTCCGGCATCATTTAGACTAGTTAATATAATGTTACCAGCAATTACACTCATTTCTCAAAGCACAGTATCACCTGGCCTCTACTTAGTTGATAAAATCTATTAATTTTGGTTCGGTTCACCAGGCATACAATGTAAACCCTTTGGAGAGTCTTAGATGTACTAGTACATGTAGCAGGAATGTCTTGCTAGTTTTAGGATTACTTTCAAAGTGATTATTTCCCAGTTATGTTGTCAAGACTCATCTGTACTTCTCAGTTCTCTCAGATCCATACATTTTCCAGTGGCTACGACTATTAATGCAATGCTCTTTGCATCCAAGGAATTCCTTTGACACAAGTTTTTATTCCAAATGTCAAAAAACCTATGGCTAGAAAGATGGCTTCCTCCCAGTTTGAGCAAACCACTTCCCTTTTTAGTGTGAGTGCTGAAGTCTTCCATCTTTGCCTGGAAAACAGAGATTAGCTTCTGCCCACCAACTAGTTCTATTATTTTTGCTTAGGCATATCATTTTCGTCTGAAGCCAAAGAACCGGGCAACAATTTCTCTTGATATAACTCACAAATGAGACTTCATTATCTTAATTTCAGTCAACAGATGGTCATTGCTGTGTTTTCAACTATTGTTCATGCAACTGCATATGAATGTGGGTAGCATACTAGTAACATCCAAGTACCTAATTTTTTAAAGAGGGAAATTAGTGAATACGCTTACCTCCCTTGGCAGGTAACAACAAAGTCAACCAGGGAGTTTTCACCTTGAGCCACTGTCATCTGGACACTTGTCATCTGAATAACGTTTACCTGAAGGATTCCCTCTAAGGGCAGAAAGAGCCCATCAACCTGTTAGGTTACTCAGGCAATGACATGATTCAGCAAAAATAGTCCACTTAGAATCATAGATGAACTGTGTTTGAATTATCCTGACTGGATCTGAAGACTACACATTTAAAAACTCAATAAGATAAGTGGTTTGTTAATAGTCAGCTGAGATCTGGTCTCTATTATTCTCCATCTCACCCCAAAACTCCCCTTAAAAGATCTTGGAAATTTTAAGATGTTACAATGCACATAATCTTGCACCCCATACGGAATTGTTGCCCTCCACTCTAAGTGACAAACTCACTCAAATCCTCCACTATCCATATATTTTGAGCTTAGCAACTGGATAAACCAGGTTGTAAAAAAGCAAACAATGCCAGTCTGTTAACTGTACGTTAAATTATGAAACCAGACCCAAGCCTGCAGAATAGGTTCTTATAGTTCCTTCTTGTGGTGTTTACACAATAGATAGCAGGTAAACTGAACAAACAAGGCAGCCCATATACGTTCAGTACCATATCAACCAGTTTTCCTATTCTCTTATTGATGTAGGCACTTACCTACAATGGAGATAGTAGTTTTATAATGTCCATATCTGTAAATATGGCAGCCTCCATCAGGAGTGTCTTCCATTACACCAGTGCTGGTGGGAGAGTCCAGGTTAGAGGGTGGTTTAGTAGTTACTGTTGGATTGAGCAGGGGAAAGAAACATATTGCTAATTACACTGCTTAGAAAATATTTTGCACGATCTATGTTATAGAGACAAAGTCTAAGTGGATTAATGTCTTTCATACCACCAATGAAGGGAAGCCAAATGATTAAAAAATTAGGTTTTTGCCTTCTGCTAAATGCACGGTGAGTAAATAAATGATGCAGTTTATCTCAAAGAGATCTTGTGCAAAACTGAAAGAAAACCTGCTTGGCACAGCGTTCTGCAGAGCCAGGCAAGAGGAGTAATTTGGATTTCAGATCCCTAGGCCAGTAGGAGCTGTAGAAGTAGCATATTCAGCACATGAGGTGGGGGAAAGGAATTTATGCCCCTGCTCACAGACGATTAAAAATGGAATCCAGCATTCTGCGCAGAATGAGTTTGCCACTCTTCTCTCTTGTTTTCCCCTTCTTCTTTTTTTTTTAAACCTCTACTACTGTTAATCATGTCTGTTCCACCCACCTGCAGGTACTTTCATTATACGATATCAGACGCATTCCAGTCTCCAGATATATTGTGACACAGTATATAAAGGCCTTCCATTGTCTTGGTCTGTCTCTTGCTGCATACAGTATAGGTTTTACATTGTACTTGTCTGTGAGATGTGTCATTTCATGCCCATATTGTTTACACTGTTTGGATATTTGTATGTACGATGAATTACAGCCATTAGATTGAGTTCACACAGTTGCGTTCATCAAAGGCCTGGTCCAACACCCATCAAAATCAACTGAAAGACTCCCGCTGACTTTAGTGGGTGTTGGACTGAACCGTAAGTTATTACATGCGTCTTTAAGGGGTATTTGATATAAATTAGTCAGAAAGTGGGGCTATCTCCATTTGCATGGTAATAAATCATTCTCTTCCAAGAGATGTTGAAAACAATCAACCAGCTAATGATTATATCCAGAAGAAGGTGGTCAGATATCTTTCTGGGACAACACACACAAACTTGCAGGGACAGACATAGGTAATTAGAACTGGCAGTGTGCTGCTTCATCAGGTTCTAATCTTCTTTAACCAAAGGGGTAAACTAAGCTTAGAGCTTAAGCAGCTCCACTCAGCACAGTGATTAGTTTAGCTAATGAATACTAAATTAGCCTAACTTGTGAGCTTTAAATAAGCAACTCTTTTTATTTTTGTTCAAATCCAAACAAACCAATAGCTAGGCCAGAATCACTGCTATCACCCCTTTTCACTGCTTTGATGGTTAAAAGGGGCCATAAAGCTTCATTAAAAAGCTTCCTACAGATTCCCTTTATATAGGGGATTCCCTCTAAGTGTTATCGAATCAGCATAGAGGCTCTAAGCCACTTCTCTCGTAGCTACTGAGCTAAGGAGCATGTCTGGCGTGGGGGTGGGGGGAAGGGGATGACTGGAGAGTCATCTGCTCTGCATTTGGCCAACAGAACAGCACCTTGAAACCAAGGGCAACTGGGGGAGGCTAGTCTAAGAGGCACTGAGGGCCAACCCCAGGATTAAGGAGCCACAAAAACGGCACAAAGACACCTTTGCCCTCTTCCCTCTCTGGTCCTGAGTTGAGTGACTCAACTCAGCCAGACCAGAGCTCCTGCATCATTTGCTCTATTCTTTGTTTATTCAACGAGATTGTTTTTTCTTTTTACTTTCGCGGCCTCTTTCCCCTCCACACTCACGCCTACTCTGTGCCAACCAAACTTTTATTTAAGGTAACTGGGATTGGATATCGTGACTTGATGTTGGGGGTTTGCCACTGGTGTCCTACCTGGGAAGGGAGGACTGTGCTCCATGTCCTGAGGGGAGGCTATCAGAAAGAGAGGGGAACAAGCTGACCATGCAGACAAGGCAAGAGGGTTGCAATCCCTTCCTCAAATTAGTGTTGTGAGGAAACTGCCTGAGGTTAGTAGGAGCAAATGAGCCCCTGGCATTGTGAATCAAGCTGTAAGAATCATAGAAAATAATTTACTATAAAGTGTTTCTAATAGTCTACACAAGAAGAGATATAAACTTACTTGCAGGAGTGGTCAGCTCAGTTTTGTTTGCAGTACTGGTTGAGTTTTGAGTTGTTGCCCCTGTAAAAGATCATTGTGATAATTAACACAGCCAAAAATACAACAGCAGTATAATTACCTTCTATTTGGTGTAAAGGGTCATTCTGGCACAGTGCTGGATTAGTTTGTCTGAATCACACACATTTGGTAGCCGCCCACTAAAACACCCACATCTTAGTCCTGGTCTGTGGGAGAAAATTAGGTTGGCTAAACTACATGGAAAAATCCACACTCCTTAGAGGCATAGTTAAGTCAGCCTAAGTCCCCTTGTAGACAGCACCAGGTCAACAGAAGAATTCTTGTGTCAACCTAGCTACTGCCTCTCGGGGAGGTGGATTACCTACGTCGTCAATGGGAGAACTCCTCCTGTCAGCGTAGGTAGTGTCTACACTGCAGTGCTACAGTGAAATTCATAAATTAAATAAATTGGTTAGTCTCTAAGGTGCCACTAGTACTCCTTTTCTTTTCATAAAGGCTTGCCCACGCTAGGAAATTGTCTGGAATATCTATTGCAGAATAAGATGTTCCACAATAGCTATTCTGGAACAGGCATTGCGCTTTAAATTCACACCCTACCTTATTCTGGAATAAGTTCCCCCAGTACACACTCCCTGCTCTGGCAGTGCTGAGGGGCCATAAAGTGAGTGCACATGTAATTTACTCCCCCTTGAAGTCTCCTTTACATTGTCAGGGTATTGTAAATTGGTTTTAGCATAAATTAGATTCCTTTTATATCTGTAACTTTAGACTACATACTTATCCTGTTATTGATTCAGACTCTTAAGTAAGTATACATATGTTATGTTTACAAAAGCTGTGTAGATCCAATTTTGATGACCGTAAAGCTTTTAAAGGTATGTAATTTTTAAAAACCAAAATGTTGGTGTATTAATGATCATTATTAATTTCCTAATATTCATATTGATTGACAGACTCTGACCTGGCGAGGTAGGAAGTGGTGGGGTAGGTGTTGCAGGCTCACAAGGTACAGGTATAGTAGCTTGGACGGTCAAATTCAGGCTGAAGTTTCCCTGCAGTGTATAAGTGTGAGTTGAAATAGGGCTGTTGGATATAAATGAGCCACTGCCATCTCCATAATCCCACTCATAGGAGATAGCAGAATTGTTAAGGTAGTGGCTGGGATCATGGATCTTGACATCAAATGTGATAGGAGAATCCTTGATGAAGACAGAGTCTGAGGCATTGCGATCATTCTTCTGGGACAGGTTCACATATAAAGGAATCTGGTCTGCAGGAAAAATGAAAGAAAGTGAAGCAGGTGTGTATGGATGCAAGTAACAGACTGCTTCACAGCCCTCAGACTGCAAAGGTCACTGCAAAGTGTAAGACACAAGCCTGCATCATGTTAACTGCCAGGCTTAATTTCTTTAATACAGGTTTCTTCTTTAACTCACTTTTCAATATATTACAGTAACAGAGTGAAACACTGCAACCACGTAGAGCGTCATGTGCATCTACTGAAGACCCTATATCTAGTCATCTGGAGGTTCCCTGTCCCATTAATATTGTTCTATACCTGCCATTTGGTGAAATCTGATGCATTTAGAAAGTAAAACATTTGCTTTTCAGTAGTATCTTTATTACATCAATTGTTTCTAAAGGTCCTATTGTAATTTCCTACATATTTCCCCCCATCAGTACAAAAGAGGAGGAAAAGCCCTTGAAACTCAATTCATTAAGGAGACGTAGTGAATTTGGGTTGGGGGACATTATAGGACCTCATCCTGTGACCACTGAAGTCAATGACAAAACTCCCATGGGCTTCAGTGGGACCACTTGTGGTGAAAGTTGCTACCTAGCATGAGCAAGAGTGCCAGAGTGTGGCCCTTCATGAATAAGAAACTTTGCCTTCATCATTATTTTGTCTGAGATTGTCTAGATCACAGATGAGGAGAGCCTGAGAATGAGGTATAGTGAGCAAATCTCATGCTCAATGCGTAAGGACTGGTTTGTCTGTTCCAGTGCTGCAAAAAGGATCCATTGACTGAACTGTTGCAGAGTGTGCATTTGGGTTGATGTTGGTGGCTTACTTAAATTTAAGAGACAGCCAGAATGAAGAGATAGAAATAATCCCTGGGATACTTTAGCCAGCCTCATCCAGAGAAGGGCGATGAATTTCATCCAGAGAAAGGGTCAGGAAGTGCCTCCAATTTCTTTTCTTTGGACTATTAGTACTAGGGATGCATGTGGGATGCAGACAAAATAAAGGACAATTTGCATTATATCCATAAATTTAAGCTTAGATTCACATTCTGTATGAAAGGTAAGTTAGTTTATGTACACCACAGATTTCTGTTGCTTATTCAAACGTTTCAGACAAAGAACAAAAAGTAGAAATTGATCTTAAATTTTATTTGGGACAAGTCAAATTGCAGGATAGCATGAGGTAAGCCTCTGGCGTATCAGATGTTGTAGCATAGATAAAAAAAGTATTCTCTATAGGGTAAGAATTATTAACATAATTCATTTCCATCCTTACTTATATATTTGCAGTGTTAATATCTATAGTGAAGAACACATTTTTCAACTAGCTCGTCACAAGTCTGCTAAGAGGACTTATTCCATACTGTTCAGGGTAACCTACTAGAGATTTCACATAGAAGTTAAAAGCATCACTTGTTCCAATCCCTCCTTACATCCCTCACTACTCTTCCAGATAGCACTTTAGTTGCATTTATGTAAAATCTCCACTACAAGCACTGCCAAGTATTTAGTTGTGGTTTAGTCCAGCACACTCACCTGTCACAACATAGATGCCACTTGCTGTTGCAACTGGAACATATGTTCGATGACCTCTTCTGTAAACGGAGACCACCATCATCTGTTTGCCAAGGGTGATATTTGTTGTGTTGATGGAAACAATTGCTGAAGAGCCTCCAGTTTTTTGGTAGTACTGGCCTGTGAACAGGACATGAACTCATATTTTCCTCTTGTGATGAGATGGAAGAAGTTTTATAAAGAGAAGCAGCATTTCTGTGAAATTTTGGATTGTCTAAATCAAAAGTGTATATTTTATGCTCATCCTTCATTTGTGTGAAATGTTCTTTTCAAACACACTTCATGTCATTGTTATGTTCCCTGCCATTAGGTTTTTTTTCTGAGTTTCAGCAAAGCAGCCAAAGGCATTCGAAAGATGGGCCTGCTCCCAGCAATCCAAGAAAAGGCATTTACCAAGGCACCTTCATTTCCCCAATGCAACTAAATTAGATTAATACCTAAAATAATTTTGCCAGTCAAAGTTAGGAGCCTAAGATTTACAGTGTAGTCAATAGCAGGGGTGGGCCAATTATTACACATTCTGTCGCCGGAAGTCACAACCCGGAGAGGAACAGATCTATACTCAACCAGCTTAGGAGTGCTTTAACAAAATGCACATTGCATTTTCTTTCTAGAGGTGAAGAAGCCAGTCTGAGGACCTACAGGCACAAGATCACTCCTGAATCTCAGACTGCTACTTGGTAGTGCTAATCACTAAATCATCTGGCTTCCCCCACTCTTTTTGCCCTGAAGATTTCCTCTAAATTTTCTATCCAAATTGTGATTGAGAAGGGAGTTCTTTTCAACAGTGGCAGCTCTGTGCATTTGCAGTCTTACAGAACATGTCATGGTAGTATATGACTTCCAAACCTCAGAGGAATTAACAGAGCAGCTGCTATTCTCGCTGAGCAGCTCGGAATGTGTTTAGTATTCTCTCACTCAACAACTGTTGAATTCCTCTTTGGGAATTCTAATGCAAGGCATTAGGGAAACAAGTTAGGACACAAAACCAAGATACATTTTACTGGACCCACCAGCTGTATGAAACAAATAGACAAAGTTCCTCCTTCTCCAGCCAGGATGATGAGGGAAAGGTCTCCCATCTGGGAACACATTATGGGTATTGTTGCTTGTGCAGATTTCCCAGCCACAGTCATCAACCCACTCAGTCCAGTTGTAGACATACTCATCAGAAAAGTCTGAGGAATCTAGGTGTAGAAATAGATTACCGTTTATTAAGTGGCAAATTTATATGTGTTTTTATATAAAAGTGGAATGTTTCCTCTTCTTTATTTCTATGGGGCTCATTCATGGCAACAAAGATCCTCAGACACGTCCATTAACTTATCTTTACAATGACTCAATGAGGCAGGAAATGGAGGTATTATTATTTCAATTTCATAGTAGGCACTATGGCACCATATGCTTAATGACTTGCCCAAGCTCACACAGGAAGTCTGTGCTAAAGCCTGACACAGACTGTAGATATCCTGCGTTCCAATCCAGTGCTTTAACCACAAGACCCCTTTTTCCCGGCACAATATTAAGACAGATTAAGTGAAAGCTCATGTTGTGCCTCAGTTAGGTGCTCATGAAACTGTCTGGACTATTGTACATAAGCAAATACCAAGGACTGGATTATGTAAAGATGTGGGAAACACATGCCTACGGTGCACCATGAGGAACAAGGCTGAAGACATGGGGCCCAGTCCTGATTGCACTGAAGTCAATGAAAAATACCTATTAACTTCAGTGGAAATGATCATGCCCAGAGAACTTACACCACCAAAGCAGAACATGTATTACATTTAAATCACAATATTGCTTTTCAGTCATGTTTTTAAATATGGAGCAGGAGGAGAGGGCATTTTCAGAGTAACGTTCACTACATCACAATTCCTCTGTTCTTTCTAATTATAATCCTAGGTATTTTCTGCTTGGTATGTTTTTATTCTGACAAAAGAATGTAGTTGTTTTCAAGAATTCTGTTGGCTCACCTAGAAGATGCCAATTGAAGCTGTTGTTCCAAATTCTGCTGCCAGCCCCATAGGACAATGCCGTCTCATTGAGGTCAGTGGGGTTGCACCTGCATTCTGGCCCAATGGGAGCTGCAGCTGTGAAACCCGCAGTAGAATTTGGCTTGCTTTTTATTTTTCTTTCTTTCTTTTGTCAGAAGAGCCAGTTGTGTCATTTTTAAATAAGTGCCATGTAAACTGCAAGCACCACTAGAACCAGAAAAATATATGTTTCTTCATTGGAAAAGCACAAAATTAGTAAGCATAGAACAGATACTCCACAATCTAATGCCTGAGATGCCTGTAAGTAGAAGCTATGCTATTCAAGTAGTGATTGACATCTCTTGAAATTGATCGGTAGAAAGTGTTATTTAATCTATCTGGATGTTGGAACAAAGGTTTATTTCTGCCAAGCTGCAGCAAATAAAAACATTGGGTTTTTGACCGGTTTTCCTCATTTAAGAGATATAAAGAAGGCCAAAAACGTTTTTTATTTTAAAAGATATTTTCCCCTGCTTGTTTTTTATGTTTGAAATATCAGGAATGTAAGATCGGCTCTTCCTTGGGAGGTAGCCATATAAAGGTGTTATTTAGTGAACTCTGGACTCCTTATTGAAGATTCTCAGTTTTACAAACCCGGTTAGAAAAACCCATGTTACTGATGTAACATGCCAGTATTCAGGCCAGTGACTGGGCAAACTTGCAACTGAGCTGAGCAGTAACAGTTTTTCTGGGAGCCAGATAAAACACTTCATTTTGTAGTGGAAAAAAATCCATTTAAAGTTCTTGGCCATTATATGTAGTGGGTGCAGATGGGTAAAAATAAGACAGTCATCTTCTGAACAAGGACTTTTTGTGTGACACAAATCAGACATTACTGTCGTTCTCAATTTAACAGGCATAGAACTGCAGCCTGGAAGCAGAATGCTGATGGTTCCAAGTGTGCATGATGCTTTTGTAGACCACAAGTGCACCAGTGCCATTGCCACACTTGTTCACAATATAAGGGTATTGTTGTTACCTACCATTCCTGCAGATCCTGTCATATACTATATTGCTGTCATTATCTTCTTTCTGGCACCTGGGAAACTGTAGGTTCACAGCAAAGGTCACGTTTGATCCTACTAGAGCTGGGCTGTCAGAGGTCAATCTGGCCACCACCTTTCCTCCTGAAGAAATTAAGATGAGATTTCATTTATACACCAGTCTTTTTGACAGGTTTCAGAGTAGCAGCCATGTTAGTCTGTATCCACAAAAAGAAAAGGAGTACCTGTGGCACCTTAGAGACTAACCAATTTATTTGAGCATAAGCTTTCGTGAGTGAGCTGTAGCTCATGAAAGCTTATGCTCAAATAAATTTGTTAGTCCCTAAGGAGCCACAAGTACTCCTTTTCTTTTTGCAGTCTTTTTGAGTAGCTATTACTTTTATTTGTGCACCATTTAAACAAAAAAGTTAAAATCAATCATGTTAAACTTATTACAAAGACTGTAAGAGCCAGATCACCAGCTGCATAAACTGGTAACACTCTGTAGGCTGCAAAAAGAGCTACACCTATTTACACGTGCTGAGGTGATGACCCTAAGTGTCTCTATCACTTCCTACAACATACTATACTGCATTGTACTGACCTTCCTGAAGAAGCTCTTTTGCCCCTCATTTAGCCATCTGAGGTACTGGATGCTCTTAATATCTAACCAGAACAACAAAAATTAGAAACTTTTTACTTAAATAGTTTGGAGGAGACCAATTGAAAATTATTAGTATAGGTTTTTTTTAAAAGTGCTAAGTGACTTTGAGGCACAAGTCTCATGTACTTTCAGTGGAATTTGTGATCCGAGTCACTAAGGTGTTCTTCAAAATCCAAACCTATGCCAATAAATTAGACTTAGTGGGCCAGATTCTAAGCCAATGTAAATCAGCGTAGCTACAATACAGTCAATTGAAGTTAACCATTCTCTAGACATTCCCCTACTATAAACTAAAATCACATTTGTACACAAAAGAGGCAGCATATACCAGAGGACAGCTCTTTTGTCTCTATCAGAAGGTGTAGCCTTTAGTCCTGGGCTCATAACCAGTGGTGATAAAACAGTGGCATACAATGTGCTGGTTTCTTCATAGAAAGTGTTAAACTCATCCAGTGATGTGCCTTGGGGTGGAAGTTGAAGATCCCAACCTACTGGCACTTTTCACAGAGAACAAGGGATTTTCCCAGTGTCCTGGCTAATGCTCCTTTTCAATAAACCAGATTTCAATATCTGAGGCTGTGAATTATTACTGAGCAGATTTTCTAATGGCTACCATGGCCACTTCATCAGACAACGTATTAAGTACTAGTATCTAGCGCATTACTGGAAAGAGCAATTTTGGGATATGTACAGTACAAAACACACTATCTATAACTTTCTATTCTATCTTATAGAATTTCTGGCTACATTTCCCAGAGCTTTAGGGTGGCATATCTAGACCTACCTCTCCAGCAGTCATTCCATCTAGGATCTCCTTTTTCCCAGAAAGGATAAAGCTTTTCATTCCACTGATTTTGATCAGGAGACCAGCCATGTAGCTTCTTATGGGACCTGACATGAGAAGAAGATCTTCCATGGCTCATCACATCTCGAAACTCTAGATAGAAATATGAGCAACATAAAGTATGACTATTTCCCCTGCTCCATTTCACAATACTAAATTCTTCACCGAACGCAAAACTCTAAATCAATGGACATGCTTGGAACTTTATCATTATAAACAAAGCTTATAAACTGATAATGGAAATTCCTCTGAATTTAGGCTATATATATTTCATCCATTCCTAACTTTAGGACATGTTCCAGTTAAATTAAAGGGTTCTTGGAGGGATAAGATCACATGGATGAACATTTTCCAGCCCTTCCTTTGCTCATTTATACTTTCTCAGAACTTTAAAAAATATTTTCAATGGATTATAAACCAAAAAAGTTACATGTAAACTGTAAACAGGTGATTATTAAAAGAGACATTAGGGAATGTAATAGTGAGCTATTAGGCCCCAATCCTGCAATGAGTTCTACACAGTGGACCCCTGCATCCATTAAAGTCCATAGGAACACACATGAACATAGGGATCTGCCTACATGGAATGCATTGCAGAATTGGGGCTTTACTTATAGTTTAGTACTTAAGGTTCCTGAAGCATTCAATAGAAAAGTCTAATGTTTCTGTTGTGGACATAAAAGCACAAGCATTTAAGGACAAAATCAGAAAGGCTAAGGCATAAAATGAGTTACACCCAGCAAGGGACATAAAAGACAACAATAAGTAGTTATATAAATACATTGGTGCAAAAGACAGATGAAAGATAGTGTAGGTCGATTACTTAGTAGGAAAGGAGAATTACTAATGGATGACACTAAGAAGGCTGACATGTTTAATGCCTATTTTACTTCAGTTTTCATTAAAAAACTTAATTGTGTCCAGATGCTTAACCCAATTAATATTAAACAAGAGGGAAGGAACACAAGCCAGAATAAAGAAAGAACAGGTTAAATAATATTTAGATAAGTTAGATGTATTCAAAGTTGGCAGGACCTGATGAAATTCACCCTAGAGTACTTAAGAAACTAGCGGGAGCAATCTTGGAACCATTAGTGATTATCTTCAAGAACAGGACAGGTGGGGTCCCAGAAGACTGGAGAAGGGCAAGCAGAGTAGCTATCTTTAAAAAGGGGAACAAAAATGACCTCAGGAAGGAATACTAGTCAGCCTAAATTCGATACCTGGAAAGATCCTGGAACAAATTATTAAACAATCAATTTGTAAGCACCTACAGCAGGGACTGGCAACCTTTGGCACACGGCCCGCCAGGGAAAGCCGCAGACCAGCTGGGCTGGTTTGTTTACCTGCAGCGTCCACAGGTTCAGCTGATCGCAGCTCCTACTGGTTGCGGTTCGCTGTTCCAGGCCAATGGGAGCTGTGGGAAGCGGTGCAGGCTGAGGGATGTGCTGGCCGCTCTTCATATGCTTGTCAATGATTATGATGACCAGTGGGCTACTGGCTCTCAGCAGAGACCTCACATGCCACCCTTTGGTGAACTATTATGCATATATCTGAGCCAGGGGATCCCATAAAACCTCATGGACCCTTGTGCAGTTGTGCCCTCTCCCAGTTGGCACCATGGGGTCCCTGGGACACACATACCCACACATCTCACTGTAATCTGTTTAGAAGAGACCAGAGCATACTTCCCCCTGTCCCAGTTCAAGCCCTGGCAAGAAATATTTTACATCCCAACGTTTTAAGACCATCTGTACATTTTCCTAGATGCTATGCTGTATTATCTTATCTAGCTGAAGAGAAGAAAGTTTCAACAGGCATTTTTTACTGTGAAATTTGCAGAAATTGTTCATATCACTGGACATACCCTTGCAGTTGTGGCATTGGTTCACTTTATAAAGAGGTGGACTGCTTTATGGATGGATCACAGAAAGCCATGAGAGTAGCCCCTGGACCATGTCCCTGCCTCCTGGAGCACACTGCCCTGGGCATGTGGAGGGACCAGGGCTCTCCACAGCAGCCTGGGCTCCATGGGTGATTCTTAGCATGGCCCAGCTCTGGCTTCCAGTCTGGCCAGGGAGAAGGGCCTTGGTGGGAAGAGGAAGAGTGGGGGGCAGGGTCCTGGGGCAAGGGGAGGCTATGGGCCACCTCAGCCCCCCACCGAGAAGAGACTGGCACCACTAGCAGGGGCTGTGCTTTGTGGTGGGGAAGACCCTGCTGCTGCCACTCCACCACTGCCCAAGGCTACTATGCCCATGTTAAAAAGGGGAGGGCATGACCCCTTGTTCCCCCAGTTCTGGCACTCCTGGGCCCCTGGAGTGTAGGGGAGCCCAAATGTTCTTTGTGCCCATGTCATAAATATAAAGGGAAGGGTAAACACCTTTAAAATCCCTCCTGGCCAGAGGGAAAACCCTTTCACCTATAAAGGGTTAAGAAAGCTAGGATAACATCGCTGGCACCTGACCAAAATGACCAATGAGGAGACAAGATACTTTCAAGGCTGGGGGGCGGGGAGGGGGAAACAAAGGTTCTCTCGGTCTGTCTGTTGCCTTTGCCGGGACCAGAGCAGGAATGCAGGTCACAACTCCTGTAAAGGGTTAATAAGCAATCTAGTTAGATATGCGTTAGATTCTGTTTTGTTTAAATGGCTGATAAAATAAGTTGTGCTGAATGGAATGTATATTCCTGTTTTTGTGTCTTTTTGTAACTTAAGGTTTTGCCTAGAGGGATTCTCTATGTTTTGAATCTGATTACCCTGTAAGGTATTTACCATCCTGATTTTACAGAGGTGATTCTTTTACTTTTTCTTCAATTAAAATTCTTCTTTTAAGAACCTGATTGCTTTTTCATTGTTCTTAAGATCCAAGGGTTTGGGTCTGTGTTCACCTATGCAAATTGGTGAGGATTTTTATCAAGCCTTCCCCAAGAAAGAGGGTGTAGTGCTTGGGATGATTTTTGGGGGGAAAGACGTTTCCAAGCGGGCTCTTTCCCTGTTATATATTTGTTAGACGGTTGGTGGTGGCAGCAATAAAGTCCAGGGGCAAAAGGTAAAATAGTTTGTACCTTGGGGAAGTTTTAAACTAAGCTGGTAAAAATAAGCTTAGGTGGTTTTCATGCAGGTCCCCACATCTGTACCCTAGAGTTCAGAGTGGGGAAGGAACCTTGACATGGTGGCAGAGCAGTGGGATTAACTTGAAATCGTTTTGAGATCAATTTGAGATTCTTTGAACCAGAAGCACAGATTTTTTAAAAGGAAATATTTTTTTCCTTTGGGCTGCTGAAAAGCAGGTTTTAAGCTGAAAGCAGTTAGAGTTTTTTTTGTCTCTGCTTGGGGGCCAGAGCAGAGACAAAAGGGAATTGTCTTTTGTGAGCTGGAGTTTTCTCTACCTAAAGGAAAAGGAGTACTTGTGGCACCTTAGAGACTAACCAATTTATTTCTTTTTGCGAATACAGACTAACACGGCTGTTCCTCTGAAATCTACCTAAAGGCAGGGTAGTTAACCTCCTGCAGGGAAATTCACAAGTCTTCACAGACCTGAAGTTCTTTTTTACCTAAGAGCAACTAGAGGGATTTTCTGTCTATTTTCCTGGAGACAAAGGTGTTTGGGGTTTTTTTAAGGATTTTTCTGTAGGCTGACAATCACTATCAGAGAACATAGGTATCCGGTTACAGCACAACCTATTTTTGTTTTGACAAGCCAAGCTTTTTGTTTGTTTGTTTTAGTTCTAACTCTCGAGTGTAAAGTTAGTTAAAAACAGAGAGGCAACCATGACAGAAACCAAGGAAACAGCCAAAGAGGCTGCCCACAGGAGAGCTATGGAGGCAAAGAAAAAAGAATGGAAGCATGCTGAGGAGGAAAGGGAGGCTGCTCACAGGAGAGCTATGGAGGCAAGGGAAAAAGAAATGGAGGAAAAGGAAAAAGAGAGGAAGCATGCTGAGGAGGAGAAGGAAAAAGAGAGGAAGCATGCACTGGAGAGGGAGAAGGCAAAGGTTGAGCTGTATCTACTGGATAACCCTAGCCATCCTTCCCCAACAATCCACAAATGGGAGAGACTATGTCCACAGTATGATGAATCCAGTGATATTGTTGAATATTTTCTCACCTTTGAGAGACTGTGCACTCTCCATAAAATTCCTGAAGCTCACAAGATGACCACATTGGTCACAAAATTAACTGGAAGAGCTCTGGACATATTCAATAAGATGCCTATTGATCAGGCTTCTGACTATAATAAATTCAAGGATTTGGTTTTAAAGCAATTTCAGATTACATCTGAAATGTACAGAGTAAAATTTCTAACCCTTAAGAGAGGGCCTGGATTAAGGAATATGGCTTATCTAAACCAGATGAAGGTTTAGATAAACAAATTAGATAAATGGGTCCAAGGAAGGGGTGTTACTAGCTTTGACGGAATGTGTGATTTGACAGCTCAGGAGCAATTCCTGAATATGTCCAAGGAGGAAATAAAACAGTGTTTATGGGATAAGGAAATGGACTCAGCAGAAAGTCTTGCTTCTTATGCTGATCAATACAAGCAGTCCCAGACCGCCAGAGAGGCGGGGCAAGCTGGAACAAAACAGGTGGAGGGAGGAGAGAGGAACAACCCTGGTTGCAGTTGGAGCGGATATCGGAAGGGACACCATCAGACCACACCCTACTACCGGGGGCAGCCCAAGGCCCCAACTACACACCAAGCAATACTCGGCTTATCGTCCTGCCATACTGTTCTCCAGCAACCCACCTTGCCCCAGTGACCCGTAAGCTGGACAGTGTTTTAAATGTAACGAGCCGGGGCATGTGAAGGCCAACTGCCCCAAGAACCTCAACCGATTACAGTTCATTACACTGGAATCACACCAGAGGTCTTCAGGCCCAGATACCTCCCAGATACCCTCGGAGCGGAGGGAAACTGTGAGTGTGGGCGGGAAGAAGGTCACCGCATGGAGGGACACCGGAGCACAAGTGTCGGCTATCCATGCTTCCTTAGTGGATTCCAATTTAATAGACCCAGAGATCCAAGTGACAATTCAACCCTTCAAGTCCAACTCTGTCAATTTGCCTACAGCCAAGTTGCCTGTCCAGTACAAGGGC